TGGTTGAAGAACTTTATGTAATTTCAACTTAAAAAATGTATGGAGACTTATGATCTAGCATATGGTTTATCCTGAAGAATATGTATATTCCCTAGGGGTGCCTGGGTGGCTTAGTCGGTTGAGCGTCCGACTTTCGCTTAGGTCATGATCTCACGGTTCGTGGGTTCGAGCCCCGCGTCGGGCTCTGTGCTGACTGCCAGCTCAGAGCCTGGGGCCTGTTTCAGTCTGTGACTCCCTCTCTCTCTGACCCTCCCCTGTTCACGCTGTCTCTCTCTCTCTCTCCTAGAAATAAATAAAACATTAAAAAAAAAAAAAAGAATATGTATATTCCCCTGTTGTTGGATGCAGTGTTCTGTAGATGTCAGTCAGGTCAAATTGGTTGACATGGTTATCTTCTACATCCTGCTGATTTTCTGTCTAGCTTTTCTATTATTGACAGTGACAATATTGGAATCTCCAACTACTATTTTTGATTTATCTTTTTTCCTCTTATATTCTGTCCATTTTTGCCTCATGTATATTTGGATTCCACTGTTAGGTGCCTGCATATATGCTTATAGTCATCCTATATCTTCCTGGTTAATTGACCTTTTTATCATTATAAAAAGTGCTTCTCCTCCTCTACTACCATCTTTTGATTTATCCATCTATCTATTTATTCAAACTAAAGTTAGTTAACATACAGTGTAGTATTGGTTTCAGGAATAGAACCCAGTGATTCATCACTTACCATGTAACCCCCAACAAGTGCCGTCCTTAATGCCTGTTACCCATTTATCCCATCCCCCAACTACCTTCCCTCCAGCAACCCTCAGTTTCTTCTCTGTATTTAAGAGTCTCTTATGGTTTGCCTCCCTCTCTGTTTTTATCTTATTTTTTCCCCTTCCCCTATGTTTTATCTGTTGTGTTTCTTAAATTCCACACGAGTGAGATCATGATATTTGTCTTTCTCTGCCTGACTTATTTCACTTCTCATAATACACTCTAGTTCCATCCATGCTGTTATAACATCTTTTGTTTTAAAGTCTATTTTGTTTATTGTCTGTATAGCCACTTACGCTCTCTTGTAGTTACTCATAGTATATCTTTTTCCATCCTTTTACTTTTTTCCCATTTAAAAAATTGTAATAAAATTAAACATAAAATTTACCATCTTAACCATTTTTAAGCGTGCACTTCACTGGCATTAAATACATTTCTTATGTTGCACAGCTATCACCACCATCCAGCCACATAATTCTTTTGCTCTTGTAAAACTGAAACTCTGTACCCATTAAGCAGTAACCCCCCACTGATTTCCTTCCCCCCAGCCTCTGCCAACTACCATTCTACTTTCTCTCTATAATATTGACTACTCTAGGGGCGCCTGGATGGCTCAGTCGGTTAAGTGTCCGACTTCGGCTCAGGTCATGATCTCGTGGTCTATGGGTTCGAGCCCTGCATCAGGCTCTGCTGACAGCTCAGAGCCTGGAGCCTGTTTCAAATTCTGTGTCTCCCTCTCTCCCTGCCACTCCCCAGCTCATGTTCTCTCTCTGTCTCAAAAACAAATAAACTTTTAAAAAAATTAAAAGATTTGTAACTGAAAACAATCTCAGAGACTTAAAAAAAAATATTGACTACTCTAAGCACCTTAGAAAAATGGAATCATTATTTGTGATTGACTTATTTCTCTTAGCATAATATTCTCAAGGTTTATCATATTGTAGCATATTACTGAATTTCTTTTACTTTTTAAGGCTGAAGGATATTCCATTATGTGTATATGGACATTTAGGTTCCTTCTATATTTTAGCTATTGTGAATAAATAGTACTGTTATGAACATAGTTGTACACATACCTCTTGTTTTCAGTTCTTTTGAGTATATAGCCAGAAGTGGAATTGCTGGGTCATATGGGAATTCTATTTTTAATTTTTTTGAGGAGCTGCTATAGTATTTTCCACAGCAGTTGTACCATTGTACATTCCCATCATTAGTGCACAAGGGTTCCAGTTTCTCCATATCCTCGCCAACACTTGTTATTTTGTTGTTTGTTTGTTTGCTTTTTGATAGTGGCTATCCTAATGGGTGTGAGGTTGTATCTGGCATTTTGGTTTGCATTTTCTTCATGATTAGTGATTCTGAGCATCTTTTCATGTGTTTATTGGCCATTTTTATATCTTTGGGAAAATGTCTATTCAAATTCTTTGCCCATTTTTTGAATGAGGCTGTTTGGGTTTTTTGTTGAGTTTTAGGAGTTCTCCCTATATTCTGGATATTAATCCCTTATCAGATACTTGATCTGCAAATATTTTCTCCCATGATGTGGCTCGCTGTTTTCACTCTAGTAATAGTGTTTTTTGATGCACAAAATTTTTAAATTTTCATGGTCAGTTTTTCTTTTGTTGCCTGTTCCTTTGATGTCCTATCCAAGAAATCATTGCCAAGGACAACGTTATGAAACTCATGTCCTAAGAGTTTTATTGTCTTAAGTCTTACAGTATGCTCTTTGGTCCATTTTGAGTTTTTGTGTATGGAGTTAATGGTCCAACACATGTTCTTTTGCATGTGGATACCCAGTCTACTCAGAACCACTTGTTGAAATCCTTTTATTTTTAACTTGTTTGTTTCTTTGACTCTAAAGTATATCTCTTATAGATAGCATATAGTTGGATCTTTTTTTAAATCCAGTATATATTAACTTTTACTATGTATTTGTCACAAATATATTTTGTTTATTATTTTGTAAATATTGTTATTTACAAAGACAGGCAGTGGAGAGATTTGCCTGTGGGTCATGATTTGCCAACCCTTGGTTTAAAGGAATCTCAAGAATTACTGCATTCCACACATTTATATCCTTTTAGTTTAAGACATTATATATTTTTCTTTAGCAAAATTCAGTGTGTTTGTCATTGATGCTTTTGAAGTAGTCCATAATTTAGTGAAGTGTTTTGATTGACCTATGCCTTCCTACATTCTTTGTCATTGAAGTATGTGAGAAAATATGCCATTTATATACACAGCAGAGTTGACAGGTATGAGAGTGTTACTTCTCTTGTCCAGCTGGGCTTAGTGAAATCTTAGACTGGTTAGTGTTTATGGCATCATCAATAAAGGTGCAAGAATTAAACCTGGGAAAAAGGATAAGAGGTGTAAGGAAAACAGGTTCAGAAATGAGGGTTCTAGAGAAGCCTGGTAGTGCCTGTCTTATCTTCTGTAAAGTCAAGTGTTAAAACTTCTGTCAGAGCCTCCACAAGTTGAATGGTCTTGGCTGCCCATCAGGTAGAGTACCATCTGAGTAAGCACCAGCACAGTAAGGAATTTGGTCTAACGTTATTTTCACATCCCAGGAACTGGGCATGTAAACAGTCCTTTGATCTGTTCATGACAGATAATTAAATGGAACAAATCTCTCTTTTCTGTGAATCTCCTATGAGTGTATGTTTTAATTAGAGTTGAGGAGAAGGACGGGTTTGGCAAATGATTTTACTCTACCATGAAGCTTATACGATGCCCCCAAATCCCTCTTTGCCAATCCTATATTCCTGTCTTCTCAAACACTTCTAAATCTAATGATCTCAATCTGCAGTGAAAACATGAAAGAAGTAGGCAAGTTAAATGGGTAGGCTTGAATTTTGTTTAGGAGATGGTGATTGGAGACAGAGCCTGGGACTTCCCTAATTGGGCAAGATTTGTCCCCAATCTTCAGTGTTAAGGCGGTTACCCCTTGATAGCTGGAATGGTGCTAGGGAAGTGCCAAATATTCTAGTCTTAATTAATGCCTGTAACTCACCATGTGACTTTGACAAATTTCTTAATCCCAGTATACAGTTTGTCAGAAGGGAGTTTATGTAATGACCTTACTGATCTTTCCCAGATCAGTACCCCTCCTGTCATTGGGTTTAGTCTACCTTTCTTGTCATTCATTCCAGTTATTGACCACTTACTATATGATGGGAACCTTTATCAAGAACGGGGCAGCAGAGAGATGTGGAGTTGATGGCTATTCTAATCCTATTTTATATGCTTGCATATTATATTAATTGGACAGAAGCTCTATTTTCATCTCTAAACCTAGCGCAGTGTCTGGCACATAACAGCTGCTCAATGAGTGTGTGTTACGTGGACAGATAACTTGTTCCCATATACTGGGAATTGGTGTTCTATTAGATTTTCATTGCAACAAAACAATTTGAGTGTTTCATGAGTTTTAGCCTAATTTTTCAAGGTCTGCATTTGGTTTCCTTTTCTTCCTGTGGAACCTTAAAAATGAATTTTAGCCTACCACAACTTAAATATATGGCTTTCTTGAAAGCATATGGCAATAGAAGTTTAACATATAGTGATTAGACAGGAATTCCATAAAAACGATAGAGGCTATACCTGGAACTACTGAAAGCTATTAAAAGTATAAATAAAACAACTGAAAACTGTAAAAAAAATATAGTTACCCAATGAATATGATAATGTCTTTATATTCATAATGATGCCATTGAAAATCAGATCAATTTATTATTCACTAGTACCTTATTTGAACTTTTAAGTCTCAATTTATTTATTAAATAACAATTTACTGTTTGGTCAACTTGTTCAAGAGTATAGGCCTCTGGATCATAGAAGCATACATCAGATCAGTCTTTATGGAACCTCAAAAAATGTACTTGACAATTTTAGCAAGTGAATATTTAGTAGTGAAGTATTTTAAAGGAATGTCTTCCTCTCACGCTCCCCCCCAAAAAACATTGAGTATCTACTCAAATGGACCTTGTAGATGAGGTGAAGAATTTCTTCTTATTTTACAGTGTTTGCTTTCTCTTTTATTGGAAAACAGTGTCTAACCTAGTTATTTAGACAAAATATCTAATTATAAAACCAAAAGAATGCAAATCTCTGCTTCTCAGTTTCTCTTAGAAGCTGAAGTATTGAGTGATAAGGTTTTCTATTGTCCCACCCTGCTTAATTTTCAGCTTTTTAATTGGAGAATCATTTTCTGCCCCCTCCCTTTTCTATTTTAATAGGAAACCTCCATTTTAGAGGAATACAGTATCAATTGGACTCAGAAGCTGGGAGCTGGAATTAGTGGTCCAGTTAGGTAAGAAACCCACCTGCAAAATATGGCAAAACTGTTTTTAAAAAGGCCATTTGACATACATCGTCCATTAGAAGCAGGAGGTGTGCCACTTTTGTGAAATAACTAATTTGACAGGTGGAGGTATTTATGTTAGGCTTTTTCTCATCCATTTAGAAATATATATGTAAATGAGTCATGTGGTCTATAACATAGAATCATTTAAGATAATGAGATTGTAGAGCTTCTCTTGAGAGTTGCCTCTAGCCAGCAGAGGCCATTATTCCTTCCTTGGCCATCCTCAAGTTGCTTTCACATGGTGTAGGAGCTGAGGCCTGTGTAGGGTAGGTGAGATGGCTTTTCTGCCTCTCTGCCTGCTAACCCTAGGGGCAAGGTTGTTTGGATGTATCGGGATACATTCTTGATTAGAAGTACAATTCTAAGGGGACACCTGAGTGGTTCAATCAGCTGGGTGTCCGACTCTTGGTTTTGGCTCAGGTCATGATCTCATGGTTCATGAGATTGAGTCCTGTGTTAGGCTCTGTGCTGATAGCGTGGGGCCTGCTTGGGATTCTCTTTCTCCCTCTCTCTCTGCCCCTCCCCTGCTCATGTTCTCTCTCTTTCTCAAAATAAATAAGTAGACATTAAAAAAAAGTACAATTCTAGAAGAACAAACTTGTTAAATTAGTTTTCACTATTATATAGATGATTTCTGATTGAATTTTTTTCCTCCAAATCTAGAGTCTGTGTGAAGAAATCTACTCAAGAACGGTTTGCACTGAAAATTCTTTTTGATCGTCCAAAAGCTAGAAATGAGGTATGGCCCTTTATTGCCTTGATTTGTCTAAGTATTGGAAGTGCCTAAGAATTATTCTTTTTACAAGTCAGGCAGAGAATAGAGAGATGCACAAAGAATTTTATATCCATATTTACCCCTATTCATGTTTTCATTATAAAGCAGTCCCATATCTATCAGTGCCAAAGGCTGGTAGAGCCTTATTTCCTTTCAACCACCTCTTATTCTTTCTCAATTAATGTGGTTCTTGTACCCTGAACTATTCAGGTTTACCTCAGCTTGGACTTATTGGACAAGGTCCTTGAAGAGTGGAGAATGGTGATTGGTGTCCTGTCAGTGTGCTCTAGGAGGGCTGTGAGGATGTGTTTCTAGTTTTAAAAAAAATACACATTTGTTTTAAATAATCTGGATATGGTGATGACATGTTAGGAACATGTACGATGGAGGACCTAAGTCTTTTGCTTAGAGACAGATGAATACTTTTTGAAACAAAATGAGCTCTTTGCCAGATTTTTCATTTGGTAATAGATGGGGCAGCAGAAAGTAAATTTGTTGGTGAGGTGAATCTCTGTTCTCTTTAAGGTACGTCTGCACATGATGTGTGCCACACACCCAAATATAGTTCAAATTATTGAAGTGTTTGCTAACAGTGTACAGTTTCCTCATGAGTCCAGCCCCAGGTAAGACTACATAGGGGTCATCACCTCATGTCCACCTCTCCACATGTAGGCCAAAGTGTAGTGGGGTTTTCCTCTCTTTTGTGCTTTCTCCCCATTCCCCTTTCTCTCCATCCTTCCTCCCTTCCGTCCCTAGCTGCCTGCTTCCCTCCCTCTTTTTTCTTTTTATTTTGTAAAATTTCAAACATTTGTAAAAGCAGACAGAATTATGTAATGCATCCCTAGGTACCCATCACCCAACCTCAACAGTTACCAACTCATTGCCAGTCGTGTTTCATCTCCACCCCACCTACTCTCTGGGGCCCCTTGATTATTGATTACTTTCTCTTTAAAAAGAAGTATGTACTGTGGAATTAAACATTCTATTTCAAATTAGTGAAAGAGGACCAAATATTACAAGGCACTGTCTTTGAAGTCGATATGGCAAAAAGCCCTTATTGTTTAGTCTGACATTCCTTTTAAAGGAAGAAATCAGCATTATTCTTTTAGCTGTCAAATATTTGGCAAGCCTATTGTGTGGCATTCTAAGTGTCTTCTAGGGAATTCAAAGTTAAATAAGATATGGTTTCTGCTGGGGGTACTGAGATGTAAACCTATCATCATAGCAGTGTGATAGGCACCAAGAAGAGGCATCCATAAAATATTTTGAGCTCATAAAGGAGAGGAGAGCTGCTAACTGTAGGCTAGGGAAACAGGGTGTCTCACACAGCGTTTATGTTGGGGCTAGGACATGAAGGGATGGGTAGGAGTCTTCTGGGTGGACAAAGAAGATGGATTTGTAAAAACAAAGGGGAAATCAAATGATTATTTCTTACAACTGTGCTCTGTTGGTGAAAGCATTTGGATGGAAGCTGGAAGCGTTTATATTTATATCAAAGAATGGTAACTAGAATTCTGATTTTTCTTTTTGACAACATGAGAATTTTTGCTTTTTTTAGTAGCTGTCCTGCTGGGTATGCTGTGGGTCACATGGAAAACCACTGTAGTGGGGGAAGGAGTGGAAAGAGACAGAGAGACACAGACATAGATACAGACACAGACAAAGAATGAGAGTGAATTACCAGGTGGCCCAACACCAGCCAAGTGACTTGAAATTCACGTCCTACACAAAGTCATACTCTGTTTTCAATACACTTTCCATCTAGCTGCTCTAAAATACAATACAAAACATGTCACTTAAGAGATCACCCCCCCACCCTTAACATCTAGTAATAAGTTAAGGATAGTATTTTCAAAAGGATCATTGTCTTCAAAACTTATTTTACTCCCATTTAACTTAGAAAATTTTAGGTGTGGGATATTTCCCATTTATAGTGTGCAGTTGGTAGTGCCAAGGGTCCACTCAGAGGGGCGTGGGTGGGTCAGACTTAGGAAGCAGTTACACATTTGGTACATGAGGCATCTTTAGGTTAGCTACTTGATGTTTCAGGTTTTTTTTTTAACTTAACAAAATCAAATGCTTTCAAACAGGGCTCGACTCTTAATTGTAATGGAGATGATGGAAGGGGGAGAGCTATTTCACAGAATCAGCCAGCACCGGCACTTTACAGAGAAGCAAGCCAGCCAAGTAACAAAGCAGGCAAGTTAACCCCGGGTACCAATAAAACTGCCAACAATGTTGGTTAACAAGCACAATTTCATTGGGGGGAATAAAAGAAAGCTTGAAGAAAAGCTCTATTTGATCTCTCATTGCCTGCTTTGTTATGTAATCAGAAAAGATGCTTTGACAGGAGAAAGGTGACCCCTTTTATGCTTTGGTGGGGGGGCACTGTATTTTTAAGTGGTTGTCAATTGCTTGTCTATTTTAAGATTTAAATGCACTCTGGAAGGAAGGTAATCTTTTAATTCCTTTTTAGACTGTAGATATTAAACATGTTGTGTCCAAGCACTGTTGTTGGACTTTGAGATAAATTGCTACTGATAACACCTGAAAGATTGTATGGTATAAAAATATGTTCTAAGATGATTGTATACAAAATACATTTTGCTTCTGAGTCACCTTACCAGATTTTAATAGAATTCTAAGGTCTTTGTAATTCTGAGTTATTCCTGATTATAATCTTTCTATTTTGACATCGTGTTTTTTTTTGCTACAGAAATGGTTTATATCACAAACAATACTAGGACTCTAACTGGAAATTACCTCTTGAAAAGGTGAAAAGCTAGACCCTCAAAGCTTATCTTCAGGCCAAGCAAGCAAGGCAAAAAGCAGGAAGCACAGCCCAATTCGTTCTTAATAAAAAATTCTTCCAAATTATCCATGAGCCTCAAGCAATTTTTCCACTTGTAGTAAGAATTACTATCAAACTCTACTTATTGGGCTAGAGACCCTTGCGGTGTTAGTGGAAGACTTGCTCCTTTATAGCACACTACCTACACTTGTGAGTGCAGCGGGCAGCAGCAGCCTCAAATCCAAGCTCCACCAAGGTGAAGGAGCCTCATGCATTATTTGAAACCTCCTTTCTGGTAGGGAGGAACTGATATTTGCAATGCCAACACAATTTCATACTGAGAACTGAAGAACAGGTAGAAATTATTCTATGTAATTTTTAAAAAATTACACCTTGTATTTTTCAAATATTTCGAATCTTAGGATGTGCTCTGATAATCTTTGTAAAACAAAAACCCTTCAAACCCACCTAAATAGGTGAAATTTCATTTCAACGAATGGGATGAGCAAATTGGAACATCAAGTGGAAAAATCCAGTTAGCTACTTTCTATTTTTCTCAGAGGCAGAGCTTGGAGTTGAGCCCCCTGGATAGTGCAGGTCCCTTCTGAGTCAGGTGATAGTGGCCACTGCCCTGCTGGGCGAAACCCACGCCTATGAAGGCTGCGGGCCCAAAGCTTACTCTGCAGCCTCATTGCATCTCACATGAGTGGAATTAGAAGCACTTCATTCTTCCCATTTCATACAGGATTTAACCATCAGTTTACTTTGACAAATGAAGTATTTTGCTGTTGTATTTTTCTCTTTGTTTAATAAAATACAGGTTGCAGTTAAAGTAAGCCTAATTCATTTCTATTCCTTGGTACCCAGAGTCTTACTTAATTTCTACTTTAAAACTGAAAACTGACCACAGTTGCAATTGACTTAATTAAGGATTTTTTTTTTTTTTAAACATCCTGTGTTCTCTAAGCCAAGTGCATTAAAGAGCTATCTTTTCTAAGATGTGGTTGCTCCACTCTCCTTTTCCAGATAGCTTTGGCTCTACAGCACTGTCACTTGTTAAACATCGCTCACAGAGACCTCAAGCCTGAAAATCTGCTCTTCAAGGATAACTCTTTGGTGAGATGACTTGTTCTTCTGCATTTTAGTGCTGCCACTCTCAACATAGTTCAGGAATGGGTGTGTAGGTGTGTATGTGTGTGGAGTGCTCTGAATCCATGCTGAAGAGGCTTTAAGCCAAAGTGCTTCAGGCAGCCCACTTTTTCCACTTGATTCCCTCCTAGAGGCTCAGAGAAATTCTGTAACCCTGGCATTAATAATGTTGGATTGGTACTGATATGCATGTATAAGACTTAAGATTTTGGATATTATTTGGAGGTACTTTGGGAAGGGGCAGTAATCTATATGCTGTTAAAAATTACCTTCAAGCATAATGGTTGTATTTGCTGTTAATCTTGATCAGGTGTTTTTTCCTCTCCAGTCTCACCCCCTGCCTTATGTACCATGTCCTACCAAATAAGTTGCTCTGGCAATCTTGAAGCTGATGGTAAAAGTGATATCTCACCCTGGATTGAAAAGAGATGATGGGTCAGTAGATAGAGTCAGGGGGCTCTTGGCTAAGATCTCTTTTTTTTTTTTTTCCTTTTGGCTAAGAACTTGATTTTAGTACTGCATATTACTAGTCATGAAACAAAGCCAATTATGAGTGGGCAGATATTCTTTACCTCTGTATTACTAAGAAAAATTCTTCAGTATGAATCATTGTCTTCAGATGTGAGGACATGCTGTTCATAGGCTCAGGTGTCAGTTAGAAACTCATGAGCCGAGAGCTCAAGGTAACATGTCCTCCACCTGGATTTTCTGTTAGAGAACTCTGGAGCAATAACTTCCATTTGCTTTATTTCAGGATGCCCCAGTGAAGTTGTGTGACTTTGGGTTTGCCAAAATTGACCAAGGTGACTTGATGACACCCCAATTCACCCCTTATTATGTAGCACCTCAGGTAAGCATTTGCTGTTTCTGCCATAGGATGTATCACCATGCTGTCTATAGATTCAGGTTTCTTCTCTTCTACAGCACAAGGAGGTGTGTATTACAGACGGGAAGGGGAGAACTCAGCTTCAGAAACCGACAGTCTGCTTAATTAGGTGCAGGCATTTTATTCTTTTAAAATCAACTTCTTGAGGCACCTGGGTGGCTCAGTTGGTTAAGTGTCTGACTTTGGCTCAGGTCATGATCTTGCAGTTTGTGAGTTCGAGCCCTGTGTCGTGCTCTGTGCTAATAGCTCAGAGCCTGGAACCTGCTTTGGATTCTGTCTCCCTCTCTTTCTGCCCCTTCCCCATTCATGCTCTCTCTTCTCTCTCAAAAATAAATAAACATTTAAAAAATTTAAGGGGAACATGGGTGGCTCAGTTGGTTAGGTCTCTAACTTTGGCTCAGGGCATGATCTTGCAGTTTATGAGTTTGAGCCCCTCCATCGGGCTCTGTGCTGACAGCTCAGAGCCTGGACCCTGCTTCAGATTCTGTGTTTTCCTCTCTCTCTGCCCTTCCCTGACTTGTGCTCTGTCTCTCTCTCAAAAATAGATACACATTAAAAACAATTTTAAAAAATAAAATCAACTACTTTTAAAATCAAGGTTTTTTGAGCGGGGGCGCCTGGGTGGTTAAGTCGGTTAAGTGTTCCGCTTTGGCTCAGGTCATGATCTCAACGGTTTGTGGGTTCGAGCTCCGCATCAGGCTCTGTGCTGACAGCTAGCTCAGAGCCTGGAGCCTGCTTCGGATTCTGTGTCTTCCTCTCTCTCTGACCCTCCCCTACTCACGCTGCCCCCACTCTCAGAAATAAATTTTAAAAATGTTTAAAAAAATAAAATAAAATAAAGGTTTTTTTAATGTACGATAAAATACTCCTACTTTAAGCATAGTTTGATGAGCTTTGACAAGCAGATACTCCTGCATAATTACCACCACAATCAAGATATAAAATATTTCCATCACTTCAGAATCTCTTATGAACCTTTGCAGTCAGTCTGCCCCCGGATTTACCCCTAGCCACCACTGATCTGCTTTCTGTCATCATGGATTAGTTTTGCTGGTTGTAGAAATTCCTATGAATGGAACTCATGTACCTGTTGTATTTCACTTCTTTTGCTCAGCATGTGTTTGAAATTCATCCATGTTGCTGCACATACCATCAGTTCCTTTTTATTGTTAAGTAGTATTCTTATCATAGGACTAAGCCATTCATTTGTTTATCCATTCACTGACTAATGGCTATTTTGGTTTTTTTCCATTTGGACTGTAATGAATAAAGCTGCTAGGAACATTAATTTACAAATTTTGGGGGACACCTTTTCCAAAATGATTGTACAATTTTACATATTCACTAGTTGAAGAGGTTCAGTTGCTTCATGTTCTTACCACCAACTTATGTTATAATTTATAATCTTAGCCTTTCTGGTAGGTCCATAGTATTATTTCATTATGGATTTAATTACAGCATTTTCTTAATGGCTATTCTTGAGTATTTTTTCATGTGTTTGTGGGACATTCTTTTGTGAAATATGTGTACAACATTCTTTTATAAAGTATGGGTACAAATCTTTTGCCCTTTTTTGGTTGTTTTATGATTGACGTATAAAAAGTTCTTACCATTTTCTGGATACAAGTTTTTTGTTGTATGTTTGTATTACTTTTTGTTGCTATTGCCACAGTGACAAATTGCCACAAATTTAGTGGCTTAAAACAACACATTTATTATCTCAGAGTTTTGGAAGTTAGAAATCTGAAATGGTTCAAGGTGTTGGCAGCACTGTGTTCTTCTGGAAGCTCTAAGGGGGAATTCATTCCCTTGCCTTTTCCAGCTTTGCGAGGTGCCTGTGTTCTTTGGCTGGTAGCCTCTTCTTCCATTTTCAAAGCCAGTAGTATGGCATCTTCCAGTTTCTCTGATACTCTTGCTTCCCATTTATAATTTTGATTGCATTAGACACACCCAGATAATCCAGGATAGTGCCCCATCTCAAGATCCTGCATTTAATAAAATCTGCAGAGTCCCTTTGCTCTGCGGCATAACATGTTCACAGGCTCCAGGGATTAGGATATGGATATCCTTGGGGAGCCATTATTCTGCTACCACATATATATTATGAATATTTCTCTCTGACTGTAGCTTGCATTTCAGTTTTCTTAGTGGTCTTTTGAATAGCAACACTTTTTGTTTTTATTTTTAAAAAGTTTTTTTAATTTGCTGGGTGAAGCTGTTTCCACCTCTCCCACGTACATGCATGCACACCACACTGATCCACCCCAGTAAGCTAAGCAGTGCCACCTAGTGGAGACAGAAGCATTACACCGAATCCTGCCCAAGTGCACCCTTCAAGCACATCCCCTAGAAAAACAGCATAAGTCATTCCACCTGCTTAGCGTATGGACTACGGAAGGTTTCATAGTTTCAGTTCTAGGGGAGACTGGATGTAACTTCATTGGGGTTTCATTCTGTTCACTGGTTCATTTATTTGTTCATTTTATTTCCTTCTGTTTTTGCTTAAATTGTTTTCTTTTCCTTATTCTTGAATAAAGAAAGAAAATTTCATTTTTTATTCCTTTATATTTTATTAAAATTTTTAAATTTTGGTTTCATTTTCTTTCATTTTACTATATATAAAGTTTTTTTTTTTCAATTTTTAAATTTTTTCTCACCTTTTTTCCCCTTTCCCTTTTTTCTCTATTCTATCGAGCTTCTTTCAACAAGCAGACCAAAACACACGTACGGTCTAGCTTTATTTGATTTTTTTGTTTTGTTTTTAATTCTTTACTTTTAATTTTTTACTTTATTTTTTCTTCCTCCAAAATGACAAAATGAAGGAGTTTACCCCAAAAGAAAGAAGAGGAAGAAATGACAGCCAGGAAGAAATGACAACACAGATGTAAGCAAGTTTGTCTGAACTAGAATTTAGAACCACGATAATAAGAGTACTAACTGGGGTTGAAAAAATCATAGAATCCCTTTCTGTGGATATAAAAGAAAGAAAATCTAGTCAGGATAAAATTAAAAATGCTATAACCGAGATGCAATCTTAAATGGATGCCACGACAGCAAGGATTGATAAAGCAGAGCAAAAAATCAGTGATTTAGAAGACCAAACTCTGGAGAATAATGAAGGAGAAAAAAAGAGGGAAGCCAAGGCAAAGGAGCATGATTCAAGACTTTGTGAACTCAGTGACTTATTAAAAAGGAAGAACATCTGAATCCTAGGAGTCCCAGAAGATGAAGAGAGATAAAAAAGGGCAGAAGTTTTATGTGAGCAAATTATAGTGGAAAACTTTCCTAATCTGGGGAAGCACACAGACATCAAAATCCAAGAAGCACAGAGAACTTCCATTAGATTCAACAAAACTGACCATCACCAAGGCATATCATAATCACATTCACAAAAAAACACAGACAAGGAAAGATTTACGAAAGAGCAAATGAAAAAAAAGTCCTTAACTATAAGGGAAGACAAATCAGGTTTGCAGCGGATCTATCCACAGAAACTTGGTAGGCCAGAAAAGATGTGGCAGGATATATCAATGGGAAAAATAACGTAGCCAAGAATTCTTTTTTTTTTTTTAATGTTTTATTTATTTTTGAGATAGAGACAGCGTGAGCAGGGGAGGGTCAGAGAGAGAGGGAGACACAGAATCTGAAACAGGCTCCAGGCTCTGAGCTATTCATCAGCACACAGCCCGATGCAGGGCTTGAACCCACGAACCGTGAGATCATGACCTGAGCTGAAGTCGGACGCTTAACCGACTGAGCCACCCAGGTGCCCCTAGCCAAGAATTCTTTATCCAGCAAAGCTGTCATTCAGAATAGAAGGAAAGATAAAGTGTTTCCTGGACAACAAAAACTAAAGGAGTTTGTGACTATTAAACTAGCCCTGCAGTAAATTTTAAGGAGAACTTTTGCATGGAGAAAAAGACAAAATAGAAAAGACCAAAAGCAACAAAGACTAGGAAGGACTAGAGAGCATCATCAGAAACACCAACTCAACAGGCAAAACAATGGTCCTAAATTCATATCTTTCAGTACTCTAAATGTCAGTGGACTAAATGCTCCAATCAAAAGATACAAGGTATCAGAATGGATAAAATAAGACCCATTTATATGCTGCTTACAAGAGACTCATTTTAGACCTAAACACGCCTGTAGATTGAAAGGAAGGGGATGGAGAACCATCTATCATGCTAATGGTTGTCAAAAGAAAGCTGCTGTAGCCATACTTATATCAGACAAACTAGATTTTAAAATAACGACTGTAACAAGGGATGAAGAAGGGCATTATATTAAGGGGTCTATCCACCAAGAAGATCTAACAGTGGTAAGTACTTATGCCCCCAGTGTGGAACACCCAAATGTGTAAATCAATCACAAATATAGAGAAACTCATTGATAATAATACCATAATGGTAGGGGACTTCAACACCCCACTTACAGCAATGGACAGATCACCTAAGCAGAAAATCAGCAAGGAAACAATGGCTCTGAATGACACACTGGACCAGATGGACTTAAGAGATATATTCAGAACATTTCATCCTAAAGCAGTAGAATATACACATTCTTCTTGAGTGCACATGGAACATAGTCCAGTGTAGATCACACACAGGGTCACAAATCAACCCTCAACAAGTACAAAAAGTTTGAGATCATACCTTGCATATTTTCAGATCACAACACTATAAAACTCAAAATCAACCACAAGAAGAAATTTGGAAAGACCATGACTACTTAGAGATTAAAGAACATTCTACTAAATAATGAATGGGTTAACCAAGAAATTAAAGAGGAAATTGAAAATACATAGAAGCCAGTGAAAATGAAAACATAATAACCCAAAACCTCTGGGATGTGCCAAAGGCATTGGGAACTATATATAAACCGATCCAGACCTTCCTAAAGGAGAAAGATAGATCTCAAATATACAACCTAACCTTACACCTAAAAGAGCTGGAAAAAGAACA